TGATGATGGATGATGATGACCGATGATGGTGGTGGATTGAGGCGCCAGGTGGTTGGTAGGAGGGGGGGGTGGCTAGTAGTAGTATTAGTAGTAGTAGTAGTAGTAGTAGTAGTAGTAGTAGTACTCACTCACTCGGACGCCGCACCGATCCGGTTCGATGCGTTGCGGTGGACAGGCTCGCCCAGCCCGGCAGATGATAACTGCACACATGACGTTGCATGGTTCCACTGGATAATAAAGGCTCGAAGAGTGCAACTCAAACGAACCAAAAGAAACCAAAGACATGCTGAGATTGACACAGCTAGTCAAGCGCATTCAAACTAAAGGAGCATTCAGCTGGAACGTCGTTCTCCTCCTCAGAACTTGAGCCGTGGACACCAACGATCAGTGAGTTGCTTCCGGTGGTCGTCAGAACATTGCTATGTACACCGCTTTGTACATGGCTCGGTGAGGTAGTCGCTGCTGACAGGATGGAGCCACTCTGTTCAGAGTTCCCCAGCGCTGTCAGAGACTGAGGCATCATCGAAACCGGCTGAGAAGAGGAAGAAGCTCCACCGGTACAGCCCGGGTCATCCTGATCATCTTGGCTTGTAGACAAAGGCATCGGAACAGAATTTATCCACGAGGAGCCTGTCGTACTGCCACGGCTGCCATTGCTGGTGGTGCGAGTCTCGCGAGCCCTGTCCCTTCCAAGAGCTCCGGACTGCACCATGCACTCCTGGTCCCTTCCAGGAGGCTGTTGCTCCTGTCGCTGTGTGACATGTGGAGCATGATAGTGGCGATGTCGGCCCAAGATGTTGCGCATGACACTGCATCGACGAGTATGATGCATGCCCCATCCACGCCGGCAAGCGCTGCAGCAATGGCGATGACGACCGGCCGGGAAGATTCGATCACAGCCTAAGGTCGCACACTCCACTAGATAGGGCACGTTCACTGGCGCAGATGCTTGCTGCTGAAAGCCAGAGGGAGCGCCACTGGAAGAGGCCATGCTGCACCGGGATGACCTCAGCCCAGAACAGGCACACATCAGGCACACTCGAGAGCAGCACAGCTGGCGATGCAACGGCTCTTTTGCAGTCACTGTCGGTAACATGTGTCAGGCACCAGTACCGCTGGCACGCGATGCGACAAATGCACCATTTTCGAGCTTTCGTTGTGAGGCGTGTGAGATCTCGCGGTAGCTACCCCCGACCGCTCTTTTAAAACACACGTGAAAAGTGAATGAAAGCTTCAGCTCAAGCGCCTAGGTGCAGAGGACGGGCTTCAGGAGCAGAGGCAGGGAAGCAGGGGTGCTAAAACCCGAAGAACCGAACGAAGCAAGCCTACAGAGGAGAGGGAGCCTAAACCCTAATTCCTCGAGGTATGCGCGCGTGCCGCTCAGCATTAGCTCATGGCAGCGAATGGCATAGGCAATAACTGTGATGCGTCGCCCGGTCCACTGACATGTGGCATGACACTGTTTTGAGCCATTGAACAGGAGCCCACAGGCACTTGTGGGATGCAAGTCGCCCGCCAGCAAATCACCTTCCACGAGCTGAAAGTCCCTTCCCCCTGGTCGTTCAATCCAGATTTCCCCAGAATCATGATGCGAAATCCCAACCAACAAGCTTGGATGATGTTCACTGTTACCACGGTCGTAGTGCGGCGTGGTATGGTTGTCACAGTTGACCACTAAAGTGGTCCAGACATGACCCGCAGCTATGGAGCGCACCATTGTATTGAGGAGGGTGCAGACCGCCTTGTGATGGGTGGTGTGCTTGTGCATCCCAAGTAGACCTCCCTTATTGAAGGCACCCAAAGAAAAGGTTTGGCCATTGCCGTGCGGCCGCTTGTCAACAGAGAATTTCAACTGATTGACCACCATACGTGCAGCTGACCAAAGCACTCCAGTGCCCTCCAAAAGGAAGGCTTCAGCGCAGGCCTCCGCCTCGGTGCCAGCACCGCCTGCAGCTCGTGGCAGTGGTGGGAACGAGCAGCGCGTCTCACCCTTGATGGAAACCGAAAGCTGCTCCGCATAGCTGAAAAAGGCTGCGAATGCAGAGGGCTCAAGCACTCGCTGTGCAATGGCCACAATGTCATTGTGCACTGCCATGGTGAGTTCCGAGGGAAGTGGCTCAGCATTGATGCTGCCATGCAGGGTGCGCAAGGCCTCGAGGAGGAGACTTTCCTCTAGCGCGGCAAAAATACATGTGGCAAGGGAGTTCAAGCTGTGCCGCCATGCTGGTTCCACCCGCTATGCACAACAGAAGCTGAGGCTGAGGTCGATCGGTATTGGCATGCAAAACACAGTCACGTGTGCCAGCGCATGCGACACTGCCGACTTGAACTGGCGGGCAGAAGCAGGCTGAGCACCGGACGTGTGGTCGTCGTATGGAAGCCCAAAGCTAAAATGACGCAAGCTGAAGACCCAAAGGCTATACATGGAATGGATGCACCTGAAACAGCGTGTAAAGACATGAGGAGCTGTGAAGCGAATTCAAGAAAAGTGACGCACGCCAACAGCAGGCGCAAGACGTTTTTGCACGGTTATGCCCGAAAACGGATGCGTCATGCTGCACATCGGCGGCGGGAGGTCATTAACCCGAGGATTCGGCACTAGGGGGCTCGGATCAGCCCAATCAGGTAGCTATTGCTTTGTATACTCTGAAGGTCGGCAGGGGTAGCAGTCCTCGGGACAGTACGATCATTGCACACATAAAATTGCCAGCCCTCGTCAGTACCTTCACTCCCCGGCAAACAAAGCACAGCTTGGTAATGGCCAGTATCAGTACTAAGGCCCTGATGCATAACAGCATAGACGATGCGGAAGGACTGATGGCTTGTGGAGGTCCCCTCATTGTCATCAAAGATCGGAAGAGCAACACTCTGACCTGGCTCAAAGGTTACGGGACTAGTGTCCTTGGTGGGGCGAGCATCCATCACATGATACCGTTTGAGCTGAATGACGACTACCCCTCCATGTGTAACCAGCGCATGTATGGTGTGCTGGTGTGCCCATCCATCAATGACCGACTGAATATCCCCACCTTGCAGATCCATGGGCAATGGTGAGCTCAGCTCGCCAGTGTCTACCACCTGCATTGGGTTGCAAAGGCGTGCTTGCCAGGTGCCATGATAGGCCACGGCAGAGCTGCGTATCAAAAGGTGATGCATAAACTCAGCAGCATCTTGCTGGCGTGTAAGGTTGCGCCAACCACTGATGAGGGGGGTCCAGGGAAGGCAACTAGGCAGATATGGTGAGCCAGCCCTAGTCACCAAGCGCATTGCGGCCTCGGCAGCACCATAGCAGAGCTCCCTTGCTCCAAGCAGTGCGCCAATCCATTGAAAGGCCTGTGCACAGGAGTTGAGATAACAGACATTATGCGGATTTTTGAGGCTTGCACGCGGCAGACGGGCCAGCGCATCAGCACAACAGGCTTCCATGAATACAAGATGTGTCACAGGAGCAGGGGCCTGGATGCTGCAGCTGTCACATCAGGCTCTAGCGGCTGCTGCAGCGATTGCGGCGTGGCTTCCAGTCCGTCCAAGTCGTGGCCAGGTAGGCTTCTTCGACCGCCTCTGCCATTGGACCCCTGCGGGGCCTTTCTGGCCGCAGGCGCAAACCCAAAAGCTTCAAGACGCCGTTGTGCGAAAGAGTGTGGAGGGCAGTGAAGCAATCCTGCGCCTGCTGCCCCCGAAGAGACACCGAGACCAGGAACGGGATGACATCTCCGGTTGGGTCCTCCAGCTCCTTGGCCGCCTTGAAGCGAAGCAGAACCAGCGGGTTGCAGGCCGTCTTGAGCAACACATCCACGCACTGGAGCACACTGTCGTGCGACAGCGGTTGCTGGTCCGAAACCACCTGTGTCTGGGTGGCTGCATCCCACCTGTAGTAATTCCATACAGGCGTCAATGCCGTCGCCCCCTGCTGCAACCAGCCCACAGCCATCAGGCGATCGAGCTGTTCCTGGTTCTGGAGGAGCGTCTGGAGCTGTGTCTGCAGCTGCTGCATCATCCCCAAGAAGAGTACAATCCTCAGAGACGTGGTCACTCGGCCGGCACTGAAAGCTTCCTGCCAGTTGGCTGCAGTCGTCTGAAGAGTGGGGAGCACACTGTGTTCGCCATCCACGTCGAAGTAGTAGTAGTAGTGGTAGTAGTAGTAGTAGTAGTAGTAGTAGTAGTAGTAGTAATAGGGCAGCAGTAGTAATAGCAGCGCTAGCAGTAGAGGTAGCGGTAGCGGTAGCAGTAGCAGTAGCAGTAGCAGCAGTAGTAGTAGCAGTAGTCCTGGTGGTGGTGGTGGTGGTGGTGGTAGTGGTGGTGATGCAATAGCTGCTGACAATAGCGTCATAAACTTTAAACACATTGCTGTCTTCTCCTGATGGGGCATGCATATGCATGTTGCTTGTTGCTGTGCTTTTGGTGAGGCAAGAAGCAGCGATCCAAGCGCAAGAAAGAACAGGCAGGACCGAAGCCTCTGTTCATGTCAGATGCTGAGTACTTTGGCATGTCATTGCTGCTTCTGAATGCAACGCCCGGCGTGTGAATGATCCTGTGATGGACGTCGGCTTGGGAGTTTCTGGGTTTCATTTTGCGGTGCACAAATTTCGATGTGGAAACTTGCGGCTAAGTAAGCTGCCAGGCCATGGAACTTCTTGCTGGCCGCTGTCAATCCAGCCGCAAGCGAATGTCGCCGTTTCTTCGGTGGCAAGTCGTTTTGACGCATTCCTTCTCGAAATTGGGAAGATCCTCGATGTGTCGCTCAGAACTCGTTGCTCGATATATGTACTTGAGAAAGGTTGCAGACGTGGCGGAATGAGCGATACGAGCATCGGTCGGGGTTTGCGGCTGAGACTTTGCTGCTGAAGTTCTTGCTGCTTTGGTGACGACCCGCCGCGTAGGTCCACGCCAAAGGCAGCTGCGAGCAGACGGAGAAGCAAGGAGCACGCAGTTTTGCAATGACTTTCACGACACATGCGTGTAGATTTGATCCGAAGGAGCCACAAAAGGCTGAGAAGCCGCCCGGGCCAGAGGCAACCGAGCCCGAGGAGGTTGAGACTCAGCCCAAGGCTTCTTCCAAAGCCAAGGCCAAGGCCAAAGCCAAAGCCAAGGGCAGAGCAAAAACGGAAACACCCGCTGCCAAGACACCCGGGACGAAGGCGCCAAAGAAGGATCCCGCTGAGTTCCGGCAGCCCGAGACGGTGAGGCGAAGGTTGTGGCAGGATTCCGAGGACTCCGAGGAATCTCCAAGGAAGGTGAAAGCCAGCCCTGCTCGTGGCAACGGAGCCGCAAAAAGGAATATCAGAGCTTTAGGGGAAACGCTTGGTCTCACGAAACTGAAACGCGTGAGTCATCCTGTGAAGTTCTTGAAGACTCCCAGGCACCGGTTTGCTGGGCGTGCTGGACGCCGGCCGGCTCCGGAGCATGGCCAGACCCCTCGCCGCTTTTGCAGGGCGCCCGGCACATCCTGGGAGTGGGCAGTCGAAAGCTCTCTTGGGGGTTGCAGGCCGACGCGCCCTCTCTGAACAACTTCAAGCCATGCCCTTAAAGCATGGCAGTGGCACCTGCAGCCCGCAGGCTCGGGGCTACGGAGGCTTTTGCGTCTCCAAATTGGAACCTCCCAGGAACAAGCCAAGTCTTCGTCGCTTGGCCGAAGAGGCGGCCGCGGCGGCCGGTGCCTAAGGGCAGTGCAGATAGTAAATTTCTGCACGTACCCCGTCCAGAACAGCAAAGGCTGAGCTCCCAACTGAGGTAGGCAACGGCCCAAAGCCCCACGCAGAGAGCTCGGATGCGAGGGCGGTTTTTTTGGTATTCAAGTTTCACATTAAAATCCAGTTGAGGCGAAGGCCCGGGCAGCCAGATGAGCAGCAGCCAATTCATGCCAATTCGACTCAGTGGCGCGCACAGCAGGGCAGATGGGCATGCACCCTCGTAATGATCGCGGTGGAAGTGCTTATCTGAGGGACTTTCATGCCTGCCCACTTTCCCTGGACTCACGTTCTGCACGGGATCATGCCGAAATCTGCCACGCTGTCAGCTGTCTTGGTTACCTCTGGTTCTCTGGAAACAAAACTGCCCCAGGTTTGGAACCCATCAACGGTACAAGCAAGATCTAAACTTCCGAACTCCTAACCCTACGATGAGCAGAAGTAGGCTTCCGAGTTCCAGAGGTTGACATCCTGGGGTATTGGATGGCGATGTGCAGAAAAAAGCAGACGGTTGCATGGACATTGGGCCGCCATGTCAAGTCTCGCAGAATCGAGATCCAAGATGTCGCCTCAGCCATCCCAACCTCACAGGCCGACACGCCTCGCTGCATTCCACAGCTCAAGGGGCCTCCAGCGGGAAGCTGTCGAGTGCCGGGAACCTCCGCGGCAAGCGGGCCTCGCAGTCAGGGCGCGGTTTTGACGAAACGAATCTGTGTTCTTCGCTGCGGCAGTCAGCAGATTCGCAAGTGCATGTGGCAAGGTGCCGCTGACGGCGCATGGCCCGTATCCCGGATGTCAATCACCTGTCGCTGGGCCTGTTTTTTGCTGTGGCATCCCGACAGCTGCAAAGAAAGTTATCTTCAGTTTGCCGCATGCTGCAGTGCTCGAAAATCCTTACCAGAGCCGTGCCGGCCAGGCATAGTGTCAAGATTGACAACATCACTTGCACGCAAGACGAAGTGATTTCGGTGAGCTGCCCACTGGCCTGTCTGTGTTTGATATCTGCATGCGAGTGTTTACTCGCGAAAGTGGACCCCTTGAGGTGAAGGAGGAGCTCAGGGAAAAATTCTCAAAGTTTGGAGAGATCGGGGATGCTTGATCCTTATATCAGTAGCAACTCGGACAAGCTGCCAAGACACGGAAAGGCATACAAGAGATGTGCCGCATCATCAGTCCCAGGTGTATATACCGAGAGATCGAAATTTTGCGTTTGTTCGCTATCTGGAGAAGCGCCGCAGTCCCAGCCGGGGAGATTGGCTAGCCCTATTGACGGTGCACGTCAACAGTGCGTCTGGCAGCTCAGGCGATGCTGAAGATGCCGTTGATGCAATGGCCTGTGCCCAGGATTGTGCTGCACACTTTTCAAGCAGGCCTTCGCCGGCCCAGGATGGTAAGGACATAATGGGCCAGGAGATCAGCGTGTCCCTTTCCATGCAGGTGCGATGCTTGCAGTGGTTGGAACAGTGCACGCTCACAGGATCCACGTAGCCTTGTACAAACTGCACTAGATGTGCAAGCAAGTGCTCCTGCAGGCCAAGAAAACGGCAGAGGATTTGCTCTGCAGATGTCTCTCTTTTTTGCATCTTGTGTCACAGAGCTGATGCTGCACCAAGCCCTTTCGTTCTTTGCTCGCATTTCTCGCGAGAACGGCGGGCTCTGGCAGGAGTTGCCGGACAAGGGCCGAGGAGCAGGTCGTAGATCACGCCAGCACCTCAGCTGACGGACGGGTTTTTGAAGCCGCTTCTGTAGAGACTCACGAGACACGCTTTTCCCGCTGATTCCATTCGGTCGCACTCCACTGCATCTAAGCAGCCGGACTATAGCCAACGCGAATCTCTACACCTGAGCAGATGCAATGCTAACCGAGACGTTGCCCGCGCCTTTGGTCCACGTGCTTCCTGAGCATTTGCACCAAGGCTCGCGGCGTCGCCGGGATGACTCCCGGTCTGAGTCTGGAGCCCAGGTTCTTCACGATCGGGCCTAGAGCTTCCGAGACCAGAGGCCCGAAGGCGCATTGGACCAGAAGGCACTCATCCCTGAAGAAGCGATCAGCAAACAACTCAGGTCCTACACGCCGTGGCTTTCTCAGGAATTTCGCAGGGAGATTTCAGTTCCGGCCGTCGGGCTTGCTGGGCGACGCCCGCAGACCACATTCGATGTGGCTTTGGAGTGTAGTTCTCCTGGGCTCTTTAAGCAAGAGCAGCAGCGACCCGCAATGTTTTCCCTCCGATTTGCACGCAAGGTCACGCTCAGCTTCGCGAGAACGGCGTCGGCGTAGAAGGCTAGGTGGCAGCTTGTAGTCGGCATGATGCGGTGCACGCAAATTGGATTTGGGACTTTGCACAGGGGCAGGCGAGATGAGTCGCGAAGCCGTCGCCGGCGCCGGCGTCGATAGCATCAAGAGGCGAATCCTTGTTGCGAGATGGCCACTGACACGCCTGCACCACAGAGAAAAAACAGACTATGGACAGCGAAGCTGCCTGTGATGCACCGTACGGAAGGCTGATCAAGAACCAGGTCATGCAGCTACACCGGTTATACCCAGGATTCGTCGTGACAACCTTGACGAACACTCATGACTGAAGGCATCCGCTGTGCCGAAAAGCAAGACAAGTCTTTTGTTCTTCATGGCTTGTCAGTTAGGACATTTACAGCAGCCCACGAGACTGAGAGTCAAAGCCCAAACGCGATAGTATAACCATCACCATGTTTTCTTGGCTCGTGTATAAGCTTCCCGGCGATGTGTGACGCGACTGGATGAGACAGGGTTGGGATTGCATCATGATGTGAGCTGCTAGACATGCATCTCGTCGCAGTGTGAGATAGGTTAGGGGGATCTCACCGCAGAATGCCACAGTTCCTGCCAGGTCGCGGAGAATGATGTGAACGAAACTCGAAACACGAGGCTTTCGTTACCAGCGAAACAAAAACCACAATCCTGCAGTATGGACAGTCCTCTCTAGACGGCCTGCAGAACCGGCAGAAATGACATGCTGTTTGGCATGCAAACATCGGCGAGTTCAATGTCCTGCGAGTTCATGGTCTGGGCTCTCTGAGCACAGGTATCAGTCGGTCTCAGTAAATACTTCAGGTTGAGCGACCAAACGCCTCCAACCCTTAGTCTTGAATGTCCCACACCTCGCCGTTCGTGTTGCACAAACGAAGGCCGGTGAAGTTATAAGAACTTGGCGGCCACGGACTGTGCTGCAGTCAAATATTTAATTTGGTGTTGGTTTGGCGTTTTTTTTGGCGTTGTGTTTCGATTGGCATTTTTTGGGTGTTTGAGTTTGGCGTTTTTTTGGCGTTGTGTTTAGATTTTGGTGTTTTTCGTGTTTGAATTTGGCGTTTTTTTGGAGTGTTTTATTTCGTAATGTTGTATGTGTTGCTTGAGCGTGTCCTCTTCTGTTGCTGTGCTCTACCTAGCTGTGCACATCATGTTTCGGAGCTGTTCGGGGAGGCAAGAGGCAGGGGGGGGAGGTAGGGATGGAGGGGTAGGGGGAGGGGCCAGGAAAGGGGAGCGCCGTGCGCGTTCAAGCTGGAGTCCAACTTGGCGTTCCTGGAAAGTCTGCGTGTGCCTCAAGGATGTCTAGGAGTCTAGGGGATGGGCAATCGATCATGCTGCAGGCTACTCCTAAAAAGTGCTGTCACAATCCCAACACCAAAAACACGCCAAATCGGAACGCCAAAAAACGCCAACAAAACCTCAACACCACAAAAACGCCAAATCCGAACGCCCCAAAAAAACCAACAAAATCTCGACGCCAAAAAGACGCCAAATCGGAATGCCAAAAAAATGCCACCGGAAACGCATCAGGAATGCCAAATAGTTGTTTTGCTGATTTCCAATGCGTGGCAGCCCGAAAATCTTATAACGTTAAAGCTGAGTATGGAAATTGGTGGTTCAACGACTGCTGCTGGCTACTGCTTGAAAAATCGGATTACGGCTTTCGAAGCAGTTAGGCGGCAGAGTGTACGGGTTCATGGATGCCTATTGGCCTATTAGTAGAGAGAAGCGTGTTCCTGAGACAGGCTGCAATGGCGCTGGCCTGCGTGTGCATGCCCGAAAGCAAGCGGCAGACAGCCCTTGTGTGGCAACTTCCAACCAGCGAAGCTGTCACCACAAGCAATCATCTCCAGTAATTTCAGTTTCCTCATCCTAGTCTCCAGTGACTCCGGTGTTTGGCACCGTATGACACGAACCCAGCCGACAAGCTTGCTGTCTGCGGATGGACCACAGGGCTGCAGGTGGAATGGCGATGTATTGCCCCGAAAACAGAGTTACTGGAGCGAGAGAGCTCTGTGCGGTTTTGGATCACTTATGCCATCGACCAGTTGCAAGATTTCGTCTGCCATAGGCGCAGGAGAGCATCAGCTGGAAGATCTGCTCGCGGCCGCATGTGCGTTGGGCTCAAGAATTCAGGCTCTGCTCTTTTCGCCGCCATGAGGGCGGCCCCCGCTTTTCGCCCATGCGCTACGAGCTCCATGAGCTGGAGAAGCTTCCAGAAGCACACGCCCGAGTGCGATGCGGAGTGTGCGTGTGTGCTCCTTCTTCATTCCTCTGCCATGAAGAGAAAATCAGAGACGCATGAGGGTTTTCGCGCCTTGGACAGGGAACATTCAGCATTGGCTGCTTGGAGAATGGGGAGGTCATCACTGGCTCGAAGAAAAGTGTGCAAGTGAAGACCTCGGTGCTTGTTCCGAATTTTGGATCAGGGTTCGGGGCTGGGAGCTTGGTTTTGTCGGAGAAAGATCGGGTCAGGGCTGCGAAGGCTTAAGCGAACGTGGAGCTGAGCAAGAACCGCTTTTCGCAACGGCCAGCTCAGCTCCATCGGGGTTCCACTCCTCTGGGTACGGACTTGAAAAAGACTTCAGGGCTGAAGAGTGCCTGGAGATGAACAGTGAATGAAGCAGTAGCAGCTTGGCCATGCTTGTTGGAGTGTGAGGCTCCTAGCTTTTCGAACCTCAAAGCTACCTGTGCGAGGACCCCATCTCTTTCCGTTGTTACCGACTAGCCGACTCGAAATGACTGGCCAAGAGTGTCCGAGTGTGAGTGCCGAAAGCCTCAAGCCTCCAGGGCCCAAGGGTCCGAAATTACACTCTGCAGACGGTCTGCGATGCTATTACCTGCCTTGGCTGACACACACTGCAACACCCAGAGCAAGGTGTGGTCAACACCATCTGCGGGTTCGATGTCACGTCTCGCCGAAGTCGAGGTCGAGGTGGGCTTGCAGGTCGAAGGCAGCCAGTTCGGCATTCATTGTGCTGCCAAAACAGTATGGCATTGAGTGCGACTGTAAAGATGCATTGGGGGTGCGACCTGTAAAGTATATCGGTGGAATCGCACATGGGCTATCCTCGTTTTCTGGAGAACAGTCGGTCACTTGCATGCTCGCAGGCATGGCCACATCTGATCAGCTTTGCATGCTGCCCTGTGTGTTTGAAAGCAGGCTACATGTCTGGTCGGGTGCTTTGCTCAGATCTCGAGGTTTGGATGTGTGGAACCTCGGAGAAACTTTTGAGGAGACATTGTCTGAGGCTGGGGTCCCAGACGATAGCGGCAGGCGATGCTGCAACGGCCTCGAGAGCTGGTCGTGAAGTGCGGTGCCTTGCACTCCCTGAAGTTATTGAGGCCGGGCGTGTGCGAGTGTGGCCGATACCTGAGACTAGCCGGGACCGCGGCACGAAGCTTGTTAGAATGCAGGGAATATGCGTTGGGCTCCCAGACTTGGGATGCAGCTGCAGAACAAACAAGTAACTGGTGGGTGTGTATACTGCCGCAAGTGACAGCCACTCAATTCTCGAATTCAACTCGTTAGAGTCGAGGCAGCATGGAAATCCTGATCATGCTGAGGCACTTGCGACGACGGGTGCTTAAGGAGGCGCAGGGACTCGTATTCTTCGTTGCATGCTACAGTGAAACGTGGAAGTCTGAACCGGGCAGTGTTTTCGAGAACAGACCTTCGGGGGTTAAAACATGCAATGCGTTACCTCTCGGCGTTCAAGGCGGGAAGCAGATAGAAAAATATTGTCTAAACAACCTCCATGACAACGGCCGCAATCGACTCGTTGGGAAATATCAACAGGTGAGCTGTTTGAGTACATGGGTTGCGTTCAACTGTCGCGTGTCAGTGGGGTTATTTGGATTGACATGAATGCGTTCGGGGAGCATCTTTCTTTGCTCTTCGCCATGAGGCAGCACGCAAGTAGAGCCACGAATTACCCATGTTCATCCAAACATCATCAACCGTGTCAGCGGCCAGGCTGGGGTTACGCATTTCGGAGCCGGGCCTGGCATGCATCCAAGCATCAACCGTTGCAGCGTCCACACCGGGCGATGCGGAATGGCCGGTTTGTCCGGTTCTGTCAGAGCCTTTCTTTTCTCAGTTGTTGTTTTCAAAAATGAGTCTCGGTCACTATGTTTGGGCGGGAATCAACATCTCTGGGGCGGGTACGCGCATCCTGGATTTCCCTCGGCCAGCGGTAGGCTCCCAGAGTCAACACTCGCTACGCCGATCTCGAGTGCATCGCATCCGTTGTTCGAAGATGGCCGCTTCGGCCGTGCGCATGCCGATTGTCTTTATATTGCTTCCGAGATTTTTAGCTGCAGCTGCAGCAATTCAACAAGAGACATCAGCGTCACCTTCGTGATCCGCTCACAAATCGCATTAAAAAGAAACATTCCGTGCCGAGAAGAAAGCATCTGCGAGCTTTAAGTTTCGACGTTTCCGGCAACGATGAACAAAATCCAGCGACCCTTGGGGATGAAGGCTTGGGTAATGTGTATTCTGGCGCTGATGCGTAGTTCCTTGAATCAGCGTTCTCGGCCCTGACATGTGGTAAACCCCACCCCCCCGTAGTAGGAAGGTGTATCTGAGCCCCCTAAACAAGTTTAGAAGATGTATCGGTAAAGCTCGTTGCCCTCATTCGGGGAGAGGGACACGGGACCTTCCCAAACACCTGTATTTGGCGACCTTGGATGGCCAGCGTTGAACGGGGCAAGCGACAAGTTTAATGATGTTTGAGAGTCGATTGTGTGCGTTGGCCCATGTTTGTAAGTTCCGGTCGTGACTTCTTCACCTTCGCCTGAGCCGGTGCGTTCAAGGGTGTTGAGTCGCTGTGTGCTGACGGCCACCATCTGTGATCCAAGCGAGTTTATCTCCAGACGTAGTATTTGCACAGGACTTCGCTCCAGATGCAGGGAAAAACACTTGTGGGAGAAAAACACTGCATCTCGAAACAAGGTGATAGAGTACAGGAGGCCGCGTGCATCCCTAAGAAACACGAACCATGCGAATCCCGAGGCATGTCCACAATACGAAGTCGTTCACAAAAGTCCTGAGACAGCCGGGGGGTTATTGATGTTGGCAGGTCGTGTGTGTGCACCCTCACTCAGGTCCAGCAGCTGCCTCAGATCGAACTGTGCAGGAAACCAGTGTCGGAGCTGCCTTTCAGCAAGTCTAGGTGCTGTGCAAGCCAGTGTAGCTGCGATTCAGGTGAGAGCTGTCAGCAGTGGTGGGGACATTCTGCTGACGGCTTCTGATGCCACTCTGTGAAAACAGCCGTCGGGGGAAGTCTTGAGGATCTTCAGCTTTCGCCAAGGATGGCACTGTGAAGCAACTGGACGTGCTGGCTGATTTCGTGCCTTCGGACTTCTTCACAGTCGTTCATCTCCCGAGATCCACACGAGAGAACGAGCACCCCTTTCTGCCCGGGGATGGTTCAGACTCTTTCAAGCATAGGGCAAGAAGTGTTGCCTGCGAGCTGTTGGCCGTAAGTTATAACGCAGTCTGTTTTGGGATGATTTTCGGAGAGGCGTGCCAGCATCTGCCATACTGGCACGTGGCAAGAACGTGCTTGTGGGCTGCGTGGTGGCATCCTCAGTCTTCCTTCAGAGGCCTCTAAACCAACCAGGAAGGCTTAGGGCTTCACAGCACTCAGAAGCCCCGCAGTGAAACTCAGGATGGAGTGGCGGCGCACTCGGCAAAGTGAGAAGCTGCCTTTCCCCGCCTGGGGTGCACAGAAATGGAGGTTTGGGTGCTATCGCGCCGACTCCAAGTTCCGACGCTTCTGCGGCGTCTACACTTAGGCACCGCTGAAACCCAAGCCGTTTATCTCCCGATTGCTGCGATTGGGATGTCTTGTGGGGTGCAGGTGTTCCTGTTCGCGGCCTGGATGCCGACCCGGAGGGCCCAGGCGGGGAGAATGTGTCGGAAAGTCGTGCAGGTAGGGTTGCGGGGTTAAGATCCTTCGGTTGCATCCCTCGTAGGAGGCGAGAAGGCTCTTCTTGGAGTGTCGCGGGCACATCATGCTGAGAAGGGTGAGTGTCCCCGGTCCCCAAGCCTCAAGCAAGGACATATGCTCCGGCACGAAACACATGCCAAGAACGATGGCTTGACTTCTAAACACCCTACTGTGTTTCGAGAGCCTCTACGATGAGCAACACGTCCTGGACAGTAGCGTGCAGGCAGGCCCTGACGGGAGCTGGAACGGAGCTGCGACGGAGCCGTAATGGAGTTGTTAATTTACGGGAGCTGTGCCGGAGCTGTAGCAGAGTTGTAGCAGGAAGCCCTCGCAGATGCAACATACCTCGGAAGTGTTTAACAGCTTGGTCCCACCAGACTGTCACAACCCTCGAAACCCTTGGTAAAGTCAAAATAATTATGGTAAGGAACACCTCCAATACTAAACTGTTCCATTGGACATGTGAATAATTTCATCCATCCGCTCACCTGTGCTAATAAGAAGCTCGAACGAGTGCTTGGGTGTTTTCGGGTTTTGAGGTCAAAGCCTGGGTCGGGGGAGGGAGTGTGTTAACCTTGTAAATGCTAGTCAGAAACAGCCTCGCAAGCAAGGTGCCCGAGTGCTGGCTGTCGGGGGCGGACGTTTTGGCATCTGGCTTGATCCAGCCCAAGGACGGCAAGCCAGTCCAGATGACGAGGTGCATCACCTGACCGAAGCTGTCGATGCGACTGGTGTGAGATTGCACCATGGGAGTTCGGCAGGCTCAGCAGCCAGCATTCACAGCAAAGTGTGGTCCATCAGAAACAGCTGTTGGCAGCCCAGTGCTGACTTTGCTTTGGGACTCTTGTGGTCAAGAATGTTTTGGCAAATGTTGCTGTGTAGGTGGTCTTGCTGCCAGGGCAGCCAAAGGACGGGAATGAACCTTGCAAGAGTGTGCTTGTGTTGTCGTGCTCGCAGGGCCGTAGGGCTTTGGTGAGGATCTGCTGCAAGTCACGCGTGCCGTGACTGGGGAGTTGAACTGCAACTGTGAATGGACACCTGTTTCCTCCAAGTTCGCAGCCCGGAGCATGGGGCAGCCTCTGGAAAACCTTGCGCAAATGAGCCACATTGTGTGAGGCTGAGGAATGCGAGACCGGCTCGCTTGTGCCCATGCTTTGCCCTAGCTGGCCAGTGCAAGCATGTTTTTGTCTGGTGTCATTGTAGTAGGGCCGTCTCAAATTTGCAAGCTACATGCACGGCGCGCATTTGCAGGGTGTTGCAATAACCTCTTGCTGACTTCGTGTGGCCCCCCAGCATCACCCAGCGCTCGCACGGGCCCATGCGGAATACCAGCCACCTGCTTGCACACGAGGTAGCATAAGCTGTGCAACAGGCTGAAAGTCACACGGCTGCTGATGGAATCAGCCCTGTTTCCTGAACTCTGTGTGTGCTGCGACGAACGCCATCTAGCCTTGTGTTTTCATCAGGCGGCATAGTATCTGTATCTGGTGTGGCTGACTTCCGGCGACAGCCGATGAACAACACCTGCTGAGCCCAGTGAGCTCCTGGAAATTTTTCGCCCAACCTGTCCGCGAACACAGCCGCACCCGTTTCCGGCCCCACCCCGCCACCTCCAGCAGGTATCCGCATCATGCCTGTAGAGGTAGATGCATGCATTTCGCGTTTTTTCCATAACCTGCACAGGGAAAGCGTGACTCTTGATTCGCTTTCCGTTGTGCCTGAATTTTGAGGTGTTTCGGGTCTGGGCCCTTTTCTCTTGAAGTGCCCGTGTGTGGGTGCAGACCAGGATGCTATTTTTCTAGAGGCATAGTTCGCGAAGTGCATCCTGACAGCATTCGGCGAATTTCGTCTGGTTAGATGGCCGTAAGATGACGATGTAGAGAGCAAGCGCATATCCGCTTGAGTCCGAGTTGTGAACTAACGAAAGCTCCCTCCCCAAACTTGACGATGCTTCCCTTCTCAGGCCCAGCTTTGCTAATTTGAGAAGGGGGCAGAGGCCGAAACAGCCCCTCGGTGAATAAGCGGATCTCGACCACGGCAGCCCTTTTGGCAGATATTCCCTGAGTACGCTGACATTTCGCTTCAGTCATAAATGGATTCGCGTTCAGGCGTGGGGGCTTTATGCAGCAATGATTTAGAAGTTTTCGTTCGAGCAGTCGCAAAGACGTTGCACATCTTGCCATGAAATTTTCTGCTGGACTTGTGACATGTTCTTGGCTGTCCCGAAGCTGCATGGGCCAATGCAGGCACACGCTCCTAGATCGATGGTGCGAGATCCGGTAGACTCCTCTGCCGTCTACTTCATAGCTGACGTCACCCGGGCCAAAGTCTCAGACTGCAGCCAAGCCACGTTAAAGAAGACCAAGTTGTGCGTGTCAGCACCAGGGCGCCACACAACAGCCAGAGCTTTTCAAGCTGGTTCCACACTATCCTCCCAGTGTCGAGGCGGTGACGTCTTGTGTCTTGCGACTTCTTCGGCACAGGCTTTTTTTGTGGAGGTGTTGCTCCCGCAAAAGGTGTTGCTCCCGGGCCAGCTCGAGGCGGAGGAAAGCTCGGCAAGGGTCGCCATGACTGGGGTGGAGGCCGTAGCCTCAGCAGAGTCTCTGAACACGTTCCGAAAACTTCATGTGTGTAGTGATCTCACATGACTCCAGGATATGAAGGAAAGCATCATCCCGGAAAGTCAGTGTCAACCACACGAGGAAGTTCAATTGCTTGGTTAACTTGGGTAGTCAGATGGATTCGGCGCTTTCGGCTCCAAGCGCAACTCTCTTCAGGACTCGGACCTCGAAGAGGCTTCAAAACCTCCCAAATCGAGTTCATACAGGCTGGTGCAGGATGTACTTTCGCATGACCTGGGCCAGAAATGCCAGAACAAGAGACTTCGACAACTCAATATGGCCTCGTGCAACAGGCGCTTGATCACATATCCTATCTCCACCAAAGCGCGGGGAACTCGGTTCTTAGATGGGGCATGTTGGGGGCTTCCTTGGGCTTTTGCTGAGGTCCCGAGCTCGGGCAACAGGTATCGATCCAGAGAGGAAATGTGAGGGGAAATTTAGAAGATTTTACTGTCTTTTTCGCTTTAAACTGAAGGTTGAATATATTTTCAATTTAGATGGTCGTGAAGATTTGATGCAGAATCTAGTCTGCCATACGCGCAGGGAATCGACCTCATATTTTTTCAATAATTTCAAAATATATCATGTGTCGAATTTGGCAGGCTTGGGTGCACATGAATCATTTGTCATCGTCCACCCTGTCTTTTGGATCAAGCCCTGGCAGTGCAGGTTCTTTGCCCACCCACCCTCCCTGTTTCACGAGACGATCCCCCGTGGGGTAATCCTCTCTCTGTTGGTGAGGCAGCGAGTGTTGAACTCGAGTACATCCGGGGGGGTATCGGAACCCTGGTAAGTTCTCGGCAATACCGGAACCTGGGGTGCAGACCCTAGGTTGCCGGATATTTTACCAAAACACTTCCTATACTGTGATACACAGGTTCTACAAGATTGATGTGGAACACATCGAAAAGAAAAAGATATCGAGATAAATAATTCTGAATGAAAAAAAAATATATTTACAGGCTGCCGCCAGTGCCGCCGACCCCGAAAGCTGAGTATCCAAGGAAGGCCACAAGTTTTAGTAGTCAGCCATGATATAGATATATATATATATATAAAGCCTTGAAA